TTCATTTTCCTCTTCATACTTTCGAGAAACTGGCCATTCTCTTTCTGATAGATTCAAGGAGCACAAAGTAGTATTAGGCTTGCCGACACCAACAATGCTCTTTTCTGTCATGTCAGAGATCACTGTCTTTTGCTAAAACTGTCTACCCTACTTGTTTTTGTTCCTACATCTCATGGGCCCCTAGCTGTTCCTCTTTCTTGGCCTTTGACTGACTCCACTATTACTTTTACCACCTCTCTACTTCCTTTCATACTACCTCTCTTGTCCCATCCCTGTCAGATGACCTATATATATACTGCCTCCTTCTCTCCTTTCTGTTAGTGTGACTTTGTAAATGGTCTAAGTCGGACTGAAATGCGTCGTAAGCTCCTCTCTCCTATGTGTGGGTTATTTGTGTACTGATTTGTGTGTACTCCCTTAAATGGAATTGAGTAAAGTCCCTGATAGTGTTGTGAAGTGCAATGGTGTATCACTGCCTTGACTCATTACTTATACTTCCTCATATTGAGGGTAAGATAGATTTGTCTTTTCTGCCCATGATATAATATAGTGGCAATACTCATTCCTCTTGTGAGTATAGAAGGATACATTTTTTGCCGACATATCTCATGATTCCCTTGCCAATATTGTCTGTAATTGATCCAAAACGGTTATTGGTTGAAGGGGAAAAGAATTTCAATATTATCTTGGCATGAGAGCAAGAAGGTAGTTAAGGCATCAATATAGTCTAGAATGCATTGAGGTAATTCAGACAATGGCTTTGAACTGGTCTGTCCTGTGATGTGAGAATGATCTGAAAAGTGGTGCAGTGTTGTAGGAGAAGCCAGGATCATGGTCAAAGTAAAGTGAAGGTCAAAGATATCAAGGAGAATACCTGTAACAGAGCTAAACAACGAGGTGATAACATATTTTGAGGAAGGTCCATGGGAGTGCTGGGGTCTGGTAAGTGTGCTCCAGTTATCAGTGCTCTGGGAGACTGATAATGAATATTGCATATTCATGAGTTTTTTTATATATTTTTTTTTTTAAAGGTGGTAGAGGAGATGGACATCTGTAAGGATAAACAATATGAAACCATATACCCGTGCTTACATTTCCTGGAAGCACTAGACCCATATGGGTCATTTAGTGCCTGGGGAATAGGAGGCATTCAGATTTTATCCAAAGAAGGGTAGGATTAATTAAAGTGCCTTGGATCAAGTGCCCCTCACTGGAATCTAGGTACTATAGCTCCCTTGAGGGGGTTTTAATCCAACAGAAAAGATCAACAAACATTTTAAAGAATTTAGTCACACAGATATTTATTGATAAACTTAATACATTTTGGTAATATGAATCCACTATAAAAGAATTTATTAGGGAATTTCCTACCAACACTCCAAAAATACCCATGTTGAAATAATTCCAAGAATATGACAAAAAAAATACTATTATATTACCAGACAATTTAAGATTTGCTTCATATATAACCGTAGGATCATATATTTACAATACGTAAATATACCATCTAAACAAATATACTCACAAAATTATTAATAACAGAAAAATAAAAACATTTGTAGGAAATATTATATTCTTTATTTTTATTTATAAGGGCCATAAAATCGAATAGCAAAACTACATAAATGTAAACAGAGAACATAGCAGAACAGTTTAATGAAAGAGTTCACTTGATTGGTGATGTTTAGTAATTGTTTGTGAAAAATAAACAAAATCAGGGAAAGTATTCTAATAATTATAGAAAAAATTCTAAAGACTGCAGTTTTTTAAATAAATTTGTTTAATATGAAAATCAATTTGAATTAATGCCACAAAAATCACTGCAGAAAACTTAGTTTGGAAAAAGGAGGAAATAATAATTGTTTTTCATTCAACAATGTATGTTATCCCAATTACAAGTATATTTCTTTGTTAGTTTACTGTGGAATTCAGCTATCATTGCATTTGTTTTATTTTGTCTGCGCCAAACTTACATGTCTCAATAAAGACTAAGTCTGATGACCACAGCTGCTTCTGCAGTTTACACTCAGTCTTAACAGTATTAAAGAAAACAACCGATTCTGCATCAGATGATACAACTGTATAAATATACATATATATCACATTAAATGACTTCCACAGCATTAAAGAAACAGCAGTCCGAATTCTGAAACATCACTGAGGGTCCATGTCAGTTCTTATCTGCCCTGTGCAACTGCCTGATTGCTGGAGTACTCTTCAGTCAATTGCAATGCGAGTTCAAAGAATGTCTAACCTGGTTATGTGCAACATTCTCAGGAGTTTCGGTATATTGCTGATATCACAATAAAGCTTCAACTGGGATTACACTCTTTGGAAAGTGCTAAAAATAAGCAATATAACCAGTCAGCTTAACATTCTTCTCAGAACAGCAGCAGCAGTGTTAGTACTGTAGCCACATAACACTATGCCTGCACATCAATGCACTGCACCTTGTTATTTATAACTTATTCAAGGTAATAAAAGTAACACTCAGTTGTATAATTTTAACATACTTGTTTTCTACTTCTCTAGGTCAGCTATTTTTACACTTGATAACAAAACTGGCTGACATGAAAGATTCAACATAAGCTAATGTAATGTATTGTTAGTATGTGCAAAACTTCATAATGTTTAATGCACATTAACTTCAGAACACAATAGTGAGCTTAAAATTCCATGTCTCTACCTAAGTAACTAATATTTTCAAAATTATGTATATTTAAAAATAGACTTTTTCAATTTTATATTTTTAACGTGAAAATTCAGAGAAGAAAATGCAGAGAAGAAACAATCTAGTTAATTCCTGGTTCTGTCGTTAGGAAGCACACAGACTTTCTGCATATAAACAGAACAAAGAATCTATATTTGCCCTTTCAGTAACCATGAACATCAATCAGCCACCAGTACCTTATAAAGTTAAATTGGAGTATTGATGCTTTGTAGAAAGAATCCTTAAAGCTTTTCTAAATTATTTATCAATTACTATGTTAATAATTTTCAGAGTATAGTACCATAAATACTCTAAGTGAGTTATAATGGAATTACATGTGTAAAGTAATATGCAAAAACTCACTGGTATTTTTTCAAGGTATACTCATGTCTTCATCTGCTTTGTTAAAACAAAGAAAGATCAGCTAATATTATCACCAAGAAAATTTTCTGACATCTTTCTACCAGGCTTGCGTAAGTGTGCTAGATAGGAGTGAGTAGAGGCAAGTGGCTTTTGGGATTTGACATGCTGTTGAAGTGTGAGCAAGGTAACATTAATGAAGGGATTCAGGAAACTGGTTAACCAGACCTGAGTCCTGGAGGTGGAAAGCACAGTGCCTGCACTCTAAAGGAGGGGGGGGTTGGATGTTGCAATTTGTTGTATTTTCTGAACTATGATGGAGGCACCTTCTGGCAAGAGAGTGATTGTGAATGAGTGACAGTGAAAACACTTTCACTGCTACTCATTCAATCACTCTCTTGCCAGAATGGCAGCACTGACCTTACAGCTCAGATGATCCTCCAAACAGCAAAATCCCTGTCCCTCGTTCAGAGTGCAGGCACTGTACTTCATACCTCCAGGGCTCGACTCTAGTTAACTGGTTTCCCTGAATCCCTTCATAAATGTTAGTTTACTCACACTCCAACGGCATATCAAATCATAAAAACCGCTTGCTTCCATTCACTCTTACCTAAAGCTAACACAAGCCTGCTAGATGTTCACAGCTCTCAAAACCTTAATCCCTTCCCTCCAACCTTTTCCAGGATGACCCCTACCCTTCTTCCCAAATTTATATGCCCTCCTAGTCATCTTATTTTTCTTCATCCTCCCTATATGTCTAAACCACCTCATCAACCTTTCCTCAGCCATCTGAATAATACTTGTGGTATTATTCGGAGGGCTCTGCATAATATCCATACCACATGTTGCCCTCAAACACAGCCTTTCTACTGCCTCCAGCCTCCCTCCTTTCTACAACATTCACCACCCATGCTTCACACCCATACAACAGTGTTGGTACCACTGTACTTCGGTATGTTTAAGTTTTTGCCTATATGGATACAGTTCTTTGTCTCCACAGATGCATCAATGCATCACTCTACCTTTTCCCTTAGCCACTTGTATGGGTCACCTCATCTCTCATACAAGCATGTACCACCAAGTCCACTCCCAAATATCTGAACAATGTGATATCCAATCTGTCACTGCCTATATTTTTGGATACTCTTATCACCTTGCTCTTTCCTATGATTACTTACTAATCTCTTTCATTTACATGTCCTCCCAGATTTATTACCAACCTTTTCAACACCAGAATCTCCCCCATCTTCCCTCTCCACCCAAAAAAAAAAAAATATATATATATATATATATTAATTATTTATTTATATTATAATTTATTTCTGATAATTAGAAGAAAGACTGATAATGCCACTTGCAGCTGCATACATATAAAGGGAATTTCATAAAACTGTTACAGGTGAAACATGTCATATACAACGTCTACTTGCTACTTGGTGTTTCAGTATCTCTAAGTGCACAAAGCTCACATCCTTGTGAAGCTAACTCAAGTGTTATAAGGCTGCAGGATGAGCAAACAGTAAAGTAAATAATAAAAAGCAACAAGAACACCTGAAAATGTGAAAACTAATTTATAAGCAATAATTAATACATATACTGTTAAGTATAATTCAAGATTGATATTTTTACAGGATAAATGTTTGATAAATATCATACACCATAGAGCTATAATGTTGAATTTTAAGGTACACAATACTGTGTTCACTATTCCTGCTTCTTCATTATTTACTTTACATGTGGATGATAGCAAATGCTGTTCTTGGAAAGTGATGCATCATGGTCTTACAAGTATCTACAGTACATGTATATATATATACATAAAATATATATATATATATATATATAATATATATATATATATATATATATATATATATATATATATATATATATATATATATATATATATAAAATATATATATATATATATATATATATATATATATATACGTATATATAAAAGTGGCACTGAACATCACTCGAGCACGGTCCTCACTATACAACAAAAATACTTGAAGACACTGCTCTCTTCTTATTGTTTGTTTTTTCAAGAGTTCCAGTTTCCTTTGAAGTATTTTAAGATATTACTAATGATTTCTGTTCAATAAATCATGACAAAATAAAAAGTACATCTTGGGAGGTACACATAAATGAAACTTTGTGGTGTTCTTGTGTACAGATGAATAATCTCAGGGGACTTCCTTATGTACCTGCTTTCTGAAGACCTGTACACTAGATTGTATATACTGTACATTAATTCTTTTCGCTCAATGTATCATATCTAATGTCAGTTTTATTCTGGATTTGCACATGCACTCGTTTTATCCTTCATTCAATAAATAAAATTTTTTGTTTGCCTGTATTGTCTATACCAAGAAAATTCTTTACATACCAGAATATCTATGCATTTCCTTTTCAAGCACATTAATTAGCATAGATTGAAAATGAGATTCCCACTCCTAATATGGAAGATAGATCACTAGAACAGTAAAAATTTTTTCATTAAAATATATGCAAATTTAGAGCCTTCCTATTCTTTTTTTTTGGCTATATTTTTGTATTGCAATGTTCAGCATTTTTCTTGTAAAAATTGTTTGCCTTCACATAAAGACAAAATATATTTTTGTATAAATATATACTTAGATATATTATGTTATTTTTATGTCTGTGCATGAGTGTGAAATTTACTTTTCCTAAAATTTAGAATATCTATGTTTACACATTCAAGTCGGCCATCATCTTTCTGAAGTCAGAAAGTGTGTTGTAATCAGGATCATCGTCATTTGAATCATTTCGATTTTGGTCATCAGATGTGAAGGTAGGGTTGTATCGACTCAGGGACAGAGGGCATGGAAGCAGCTCAGGCATAACTGAGTGATGAGTGATCAGTGCTGTTAGGGTATTGAACTCCTTGGTGAAGCCCTAGAAAAGAATAACACAGTAGTTAATTTTTACATATGAATTTATTATACTATTCAATTGTTATGAGTTTAGGTAGTTGCCGTGTCAATTTTTATATGATGAATTTTTCAAAGATTTAATTATAGATTGACAGATACATCAGAATGATAGATATATCACATTAATTAACATGGTATTTAGCTTTTATTTGTGCAAATTAACAACAAAATTTGAACATCACTAAAGTATGTAACTAAATACAGTTTAATCTTGCCTAATGTAAGTTTGGTTAACCTATGTTAATACTGCATTATTATTTATCATTAATAAAGCAAATAAACTTAAGCAACTGTGACAAAATTTGCTGATGACATACTACTGTAGCAGATTCTGAAGAGAAATTTCTAAAGTTGGTAGGATGTCTCAATGGAGGCGACTGAATATAAATATACGAGTAAAACTTTGATGAGATGGAAAATATTAAGCAATAAAAGATTGGAAGAGAGTTTATTGAAAGTAAAATGTATGTTTGTATCTGAGAGCAGATGTGTTGGCAAGTGGGTGTAAGCTGAGGCGAATCAAAAGAACAGATAAAGAGGAAAAAATGTAGGTAGAGTGCTGAGGCATCCATGGACAGAAACTGATCAATGGAGACAAAAAGAAGACCACACCAGAGTGTAGTGATACCAATACTCATCTGAGTGTGAGGCATGGTCTTTACGTGTTGCATCAAAGATGAGGCTGGAAGCAGTGGAGATGTTATGTTTGAGATCAATGTATGATGTGAACAGTATGCAGAAAATCAGAAGCACATAAAATTAGAAGACAGTGTAGTGGTATGAAAGATATAATTTGGCAAGTGAATGAAGGGTTGAGATGGTCTGATCAATTAGAAAAGATAGAGTATAGCAGGCTGATCAAGGGGGTGGATGGAAGGAGGAGTATGGAACTTCCCAGAAAGGTGCAAAGATGGTTTTGAGTGGTAGGGGCCTGAGCATCCTTCTGGTATGGAAAGCTTGTTAGATTTTAATTAGTGCAGACAAGTTTTTTTTTTTTTAAGATCTGATATGCATTGCAGTGAGAAAGATAATATTCATGAAAAGATTAATGTAAACTGATTAGCTGGATTCAAATTCTGGAAATAGGAAGCACAGTGACTGCAAATGGAGGGGTGGAGATGTTGCAGTTCAAAGACTCATTCGAATCATTATGTCTACATTCTTTTGGCAAAACATCTACTAAATGAACGATGGTGAATATGTTTCCTTCTCTGGGGTACCCTACCTTAGTGGGAAATGGCAGATGTTGTAAAAACATAAAAGGCCAATTATGCTGATAGTAGCAAATTGTTCAGATATATAATAATTGGCAATGGGAACCTAAGAAAGAAGGAACACTGCAGCAGGCCTACTGGCCCATGCGAGGCAGGTCCAATGCCCTGACTTAGTCAGGTCAGTCGCATTCACTTAAGGGAGGAGCACAGCATTCGACCTAGTAGCACAAGATAGTCAGCTCCAACTCACACTCACCCACACCTACTCATGTATTTATCCAACCTATTTTTAAAACTACACAACTTCATAGCTTCTATGACGGTACTCGGGAGTTTGTTCCACTCATCCACGACTCTATTACCAAACCAGTGCTTTCCTATATCCTTCCTGAATCTGAATTTTTCCAATTTAAAACCATTGCTGCGAGTCATGTCTATGCTAGATATTTTTAGCATGCTATTTTTTTTTTTTTTATCACACTGGCTGATTCCCACCAAGGCAGGGTGGCCCGAAAAAGAAAAACTTTCACCATCATTCACTCCATCACTGTCTTGCCAGAAGGGTGCTTTACACTTCAGTTTTTAAACTGCAACATTAACACCACTCCTTCAGAGTGCAGGCACTGTACTTCCCATCTCCAGGACTCAAGTCCGTCCTGCCGGTTTCCCTGAACCCCTTCATAAATGTTACTTTGCTCACACTCCAACAGCACGTCAAGTATTAAAAACCATTTGTCTCCATTCACTCCTATCAAACACGCTCACGCATGCCTGCTGGAAGTCCAAGCCCCTCGCACACAAAACCTCCTTTACCCCCTCCCTCCAACCTTTCCTAGGCCGACCCCTACCCCGCCTTCCTTCCACTACAGACTGATACACTCTTGAAGTTATTCTGTTTCGCTCCATTCTCTCCACATGTCCGAACCACCTCAACAACCCTTCCTCAGCCCTCTGGACAACAGTTTTGGTAATCCCGCACCTCCTCCTAACTTCCAAACTACGAATTCTCTGCATTATATTCACACCACACATTGCTCTCAGACATGACATCTCCACTGCCTCCAGCCTTCTCCTCGCTGCAACATTCATCACCCATGCTTCACACCCATATAAGAGCGTTGGTTAAACTATACTCTCATACATTCCTCTCCTTGCCTCCAAGGACAAAGTTCTTTGTCTCCACAGACTCCTAAGTGCACCACTCACCCTTTTCCCCTCATCAATTCTATGATTCACCTCATCTTTCATAGACCCATCCGCTGACACGTCCACTCCCAAATATCTGAATACATTCACCTCCTCCATACTCTCTCCCTCCAATCTGATATCCAATCTTTCATCACCTATATTAATTCCTGTTTTCCATTTATACACCTCAATCATATCCCCCCTAATTCTATGCCTTCCTAGAGAGTGTAGATTCAGGGTCCTCAGTCTATCCTCATAGGGAAGATTTCTGATATGTGGGATCAACTTTGTCATCCTCCTTTGTACATTTTCCAGTGCATTTATATCCATTCTGTAATATGGTGACCAAAACTGCGCAGTATAATCTAAATGAGGCCTAACCAAAGGTATACAGAGTTGAACAACCTGAAGACTTCTATTATTTATACTTCTTGTTATGAAGCCAAGAATTCTGTTAGCTTTATTGCAAACACTTATGCACTGTTGTCTTGGTTTCAGATTACTGCTAACCAGAACTCCTAAATCCTTTTTGCAATCCGTAATATTAAGATCTACATTATTTAGTTTATATGTGGCACAGTTATTTTCCTGTCCAACATTTAGAACTTTGCATTTATCTATATTAAACTGCATCTGCCACTTCTCCGACCACTGCATCAGTCTATTCAAATCATCCTGGAGTGCTCTAATGTCCTCATTAGAATGAATTGGACGGCCAATTTTGGTGTCATCAGCAAATTTACTTATGTCACTACTTATTCCCTCATCTATGTCGTTTATGTAAATTGTGAACAACAACGGGCTCAATACTGACCCCTGTGTAACACTGCTTGTGACGTGCCCCCATTCTGATTTCTCCCCATTTATGCAAACTCTCTGCTGCCTATTTGTCAACCATGCCTCTACAAAAAAAAAAATTTTTCCTCCTATTCTGTGTGCCTTAAGTTTTTTCAACAGCCTCTGATGTGGAACTCTATCAAAAGCCTTACTTAAGTCCATATACACAATATCATATTCAATACCATGATCTACCTCCTCAAATACCTTAATGAAGAAAGTTAGTAAATTTGTAAGACAGGAACACCCCTTTGTAAAACTGTGCTGAGGTTCATTAATCAATTTATGCCTTTCAAGATGGCTACGAATTGCTTCGGCAATTATTGATTCCATAAATTTACCAACTATGGAGGTAAGACTTATTGGTCTATAGTTTGAAGCTAAGGACTTGTCACATCCTTGCAAATGGGTATTACATTTGCCATTTTCCACTTGTCTGGCACTATGCCAGTTTGTAGTGATATACTGAAAATATTAGCCAAAGGTATGCTAAGTTCCTCTTTACATTCCTTTAACACCCTTGCAAACAGTTCATCAGGACCTGGGGATTTGTTAGGTTTTAATTTCTCTATTTGTCTGAGGACCATGTCGCTAGTTACCCCAATAGTGCATAGTTTATTATTGTCCTGTTCTACATAATTTATTATTTCTGGCATTTTGCTGGTATCTTCCTAAGTAAAAGCTGAGAGGCAGTAGGTATTGAAAAGTTCACACATTTCCTCAACACTGTCAGTTATCTGACCTGAGTTACTCTTAAGTGGGCTTATCTTGTCTCTAATCTTACTTCCATATACCTGAAAGAACACTTTTGGGTTAGTCTTCAAATCCCTTCTAACTTGAGCCTCATAATCCCTTTTAGCTTTTCTTATTCCTTTTTTTTATTTCTCTCTTTAATTGTATATATTGATTTTTTAACTGCCCTTCCCCTCTTTTGATATGCCTATATATGCCTCTCTTTTGACAAATGAGACATTTTAATTTATTGTTTATCCATTTGATATCATTTTTGTTAGATCTAATTTCCCTACTTGAGAAAAGTCGTCTGGGCAGCTAGCACTATGGTCTGAATTACGTCATATTGGCAATCAACCCCACCTGCCTGACCCATAGTAAGGTCATCCCAATTTAGCCCGCCCAGGTAATTTTTCAGTCCCATGAAGTCGGCCAAGCAGAAATCTGGGACAGCAACTTGATTGAAGTTATCTGGGTAATTCCATGATATATTGAAACTAAGTGATTTGTGATCGCTTTCACTTAGCTCATCATTAACCTCAAGATTATTAACTAGTGATGGCAGTGAATTAATAATAATGTTAGGAAAGTATTAATGTTAAAGCACTGAGCAGCCAAACAGTTCTAGTACATTTTAAAGTAATAAACTAAACTTCCTTATATGGTTGGCCATAAATACAAGCCATAGTATCATTAATTAATTTTTCACCAGAATTTTATCTAATATGTAGTGGTATTAATTAAAGCATGCAATCCTTTTCTGCCATGGAAAGGTTACTGATTTTTTTAATATTATGTACACCTTAATGAGGAGTATTGGAACCAGTATTATACAAAAATAAGAGGTATTTTTGGGCCACAGTAAACTGTGGATAACTGAAACCCCGGATACTGAATCAGTGGATATGGGGGTTCTACTGTACTGTGTTGAAGAATAATTATTACATTTTCCTTACCTTAATTTTGTATCCTTTATTTGTTTTAACAATAAGATAGTGTGCAATGCCTGAGACAGTGAAATCTCGTGGCACTCTTAGACTAAGAGCATAACAGCCAGGTTTGCTGGTAGACTCTCGTACCATGAATGCACCAACTGGCTCATGACTCAACACCTCAAGGGCTATTTCTCTGTAAGAGATTATAGTATTCAATTGTTAGAAAATATTTTTCTTATATAAGGTACTATTTCTATAGGATAAAAAGGCAGCTTTTGAAATACAATGGCAATTACAATACTGCAGTCCTATGATTACTAACTGAAAGGCTCTGTACTCCCTCAAATACTTTGCTTAACCAGTGGCTTTCCAAATGTACTATTAATGTCATCCGATTTTGTAAAAACTCTGTAATATGTGGAAATGAAGTATTATTAGTGTTATTTTTTCACCACACCAGCCATCTCCCACCAAGGGAAGAGCGACCAAAAAAAGAAATGCAAAGCTGTTGTTCTTTTTACATTTATTACTATATATATAGAAGAGGCTACTAGCCCCTTACTCCCAGCATTTGAGTTGCCTCTTATAACATGCATAGCTTACAGAAGAATTCTTTTCCACTTCCCCATGGAGATTATTATTATCAGTAGTAGTAATCATAGTTGTAGTAGTATTTATTATTATTATTTTTTTATTATAATTATTATTATTATTGTATATCAGCTGTGAGTAAACAAGTTTTTAATTATGATTTTAATTATTATATTAATGTTATACAACACTAATGAATAAATGAGTAAAGCACACATGTGCAACAGTTGTATATATTTACTGGCAAGATATTTCACCTGCTCAGCAGGCTTCTTCAGTGAAAACAAGAGGTGATTTAACAACAGAAGTAGTGGAGAGGGAGCTACAAAGTAATCAGTCAACTGTAACTCATCAAAAAGCTAGTGTTTGAATGATCACTCAAGCAGGTGCCACACAACATATGTATACTACATATATAGGAGTCAATACAAATATAAGCCTTGCTCTGAAACTGAACCTCCATGGAGTTGAACTCTTCTCCAGGCTGAGAGACTGACAACCTCAACTATTTCTACAAGGCTGATGGACATCCTCTTTACCTCATCACTTCTACTGCCTGCAATGCAATCTCTGCATTTGACTGAAGAAGCATACCGCATAGGTGAAATGTTTCAAAAATAGAGACTCAACTGTAGCGCATGTATTTTACTCATCAACTTGTTGGTATTTTATACCATTTTCAACAAAAGTATCACTTGACACAGCAGTGTTTGACGGCTGTGATCGTGAGTAATGTAAACAATAAAAAGTTTATCCTAACAGTAATATACAGTGGACCCCCGCATACTGTACGCATCGCATACCATACGCATCGCATACCGTACAATCCGCATACCGGTCGCTTTGATCGCAAAAATTTTGCCCCGCATTTCCCCCAAAAAACCCCGCTCACCGCCCTTCGTCCGAGACGCGTCCAATGTGCGGCCTGAGCCAGCCTCATATGTTCCGCCGGTGGCATTGTTTACCAGCCAGCCTCTGCGGTAACATCCAAGCATACAATCTGAATATTTTGTATTATTACAGTGTTTTCGGTGCTTTATCTGGAAAATAAGTGACCATGGGCCCCAAGAAAGCTTCTAGTTCCAACCCTACAGCAATAAGGGTGAGAATTCCAATAGAGATGAAGAAAGAGATCATTGATAAGTATGAAAGTGGAGTGCGTGTCGCCCGACCTGGTCAGGTTGTACAAGAAACCCAAATCAACCATCTCTACTATTGTGGGCAACAGAAAGGCAATCAAGGAAGCTGTTCTTGCCAAAGGTTTAACTGTGTTTTCGAAACAGAGATCGCAAGTGATGGAAGATGTTGAGAGACTCTTATTGGTGTGGATAAATGAAAAACAGCTAGCAGGAGATAGCGTCTCTCAAGCGATCATAAGCGAAAAGGCTAGGAAGTTGCATGAGGATTTAATTAAAAAAATGTCTGCAACTAGTGATGATGTGAGTGAATTTAAGGCAGCAAAGGTTGGTTTGAGAGATTTAAGAGCGTAGTGGCATACATAGTGTGATAAGGCATGGTGAGGCTGCCAGTTCGGACCACAAAGCAGCTGAAAATATGTGCAGGAATTCAAGGAGTACATAGAAAGTGAAGGACTGAAACCTGAACAAGTGTTTAATTGTGATGAAACAGGCCTGTTTTGGAAGAAAATGCCAAGCAGGACCTACATTACTCAGGAGGAAAAGGCACTCCCAGGACATAAGCCTATGAAAGACAGGCTTACTTTGTTGATGTGTTCCAATGCTACTGGTGATTGCAAAGTGAAGCCTTTATTAGTGTATCACTCTGAAACTCCCAGGACCCGTTCAGGCAAAAAGAATGTCCTCAGGAGAATTTGTGTGTGCTGTGGAGGGCAAACAGTAAGGCATGGGTCACTAGGGACTTTTTCTATGACTGGTTACACCATGCATTTGCCCCCAATGTGAAAGATTACCTAACTGAAAAGAAATTAGAACTTAAGTGCCTCCTGGTGTTAGACAATGCCCTGGTCATCCTACAGACGTGGCAGAGCGACTTTATGGGGACATGAAATTCATTAAGGTGAAGTTTTTGCCTCCTAATACCACTCCTCTCCTGCAGCCCATGGACCAGCAGGTTATTGCAAACTTCAAAAAACTGTACACAAAAGCTCTGTTTGAAAGGTGCTTTGTAGTGACCTCAGAAACTCAACTGACTCTAAGAGACTTTTGGAGGAGATCACTTTAATATCCTCAATTGTGTAAACCTTATAGGTAAGGCTTGGGAGGGAGTGACTAAGAAGACCTTGAACTCTGCTTGGAAGAAACTGTGGCCAGAATGTGTAGACAAAAGGGATTTTGAAGGGTTTGAGGCTAACCCTGAGAGGATTATGCCAGTTGAGGAATCCATTGTGGCATTGGGAAAGTCCTTAGGGTTGGAGGTTAGTGGGGGATGATGTGGAAGAGTTGGTGGAGGAGGACAATGAAGAACTAACCACTGATGAGCTGATAGATCAACTTCAACAGCAAGAGGCAGACCTGAGGAACTGGTTCAGAGGAGGGGAGAGAGAAATTGAAGAAGTTGCCTACTACAAAGATTAAGGAAATCTGTGCAAAGTGGCTTGAAGTGCAAACCTTCATGGATGAAAATCACCCTCACACAGTATTGCAAGCCATGCTGGTGATTATTACACTGACAATGTTGTGAAACACTTTAGGGAAGTCATAAAGGAACGAGAGGTACAGGCCACTATGGACAGATATGTTGTGCGAAAGAAGTTCAGTGACTCTGAAGTGGTCTAGTGGCATTAAAAGAAGAAGGGAAGTAACCCCAGAAAAGGACTCGACACCTCAAGTCTTAATGGAAGGGGATTCCCCTTCTAAACACTAACACTCTCTCTCCCCTCTCCCATCCCATCAATCATCACAGATCTTCAATAAAAGTAAGTGTCATGTAATTGTGCATGCCTTTTTCAGTTTGTGTGTATTAAAATTAACATTTCATGTGGTAAAAAAATTATTTTTTCATACTTTTGGGTGTCTTGCACGGATTAATTTGATTTCCATTATTTCTTATGGGGGAAAATTCATTCGCATACCGAACATTTCGCATAACAACCAGCCCTCTTGCACGGATTAAGGTCGCTATGCGGGGGTCCACTGTATTATCATTATTATACTTGAATAGAAGTGCAAAATCTGTGTGTGTGTGGGGGGGGGGAGTTGCAGTACTACTACTCCAATATAACAATTAAAATTTAACCCTTAAGCTGTCCAAACGTAGATCTACGTTCACGTGCGTAGCACTCCGACCTTGATGTTCCCCATTTGAAAGCATGTAAAAAATGTTCGGAGCCCCCCACACGTGGACGTAGATGTACGTTTGGACAGTTTAAGGGTTAAGCATAATACAGAGCACAATCAAACCATACCACAAATAAAAAAAAAAAAGTGTAAAAGATCTGGGAGTCAATATGTTGGAAGATCTTATCCTTAAAAAGCACAAAAGAGTAACTAACACATCTCCAAGAAAAAAAAATAAGCTGGATAGCAAGTATGTTTCATATGAGGAACAAATAAATGATACTTTTAACACACTAGACTGTAATATTTATGTGCACTTTCATGTCATAAAATTATGACATGACTGTAGAGATGCGAGATCTGATCTGCAAAGAATGTTCATTGTCCTCATCTATATAAAAACCTATATCATCAGAACATTTAAAAGCTCTCAAATTCTACTAGAAATGCATTATTATAATTATTACACATCGGCCATCACTAATCCGATCCCACCAGTAATCCGGCACTAATTTCAGCTAACATAATTTCAAATATCCAGGGTCACCACACCAACATGTCACTGGTGCTACTTTCTGCATAAATCATTCCAATTTCTTTTTCTCCATTTGTTATAACCTGCTCACTTTTAGCCCTAACCATGGTTCCAACGAATAAAAGAAATGCTTCTCATTGTGTAAAGCACATACACCGTACACTGTCCATAAAAGATAAGGTGACTTTGAAGCCACTGTCGGTCACCATGAGCTGAGTTCACTCAGATAAGCTGTGACCGGTACATATGATCTAAATATCAATTAGTCAATCAATCAAGCAAGTTTATTCTCTATAAGGATTACAATGCAGGGTTTACAGATTTTGGATATTGGGGTTTACATGTTATAAAATACTAATTACAGAGGGGGCCACTAGGACACCTAGCATGGCTAGGCATTTCGGGCAGACTTAGATTAATTCTTAACTCTAAATTATTACATAAGAGATAATAGGTCTGTGCAGTAAGTATGCACTACATGAAAAAAATCCTGGAGTATGCAGTGCATAATGAGAAAAAACTACGACATCGTTTCTGGGGTATAACAGCAACTTTGCAATTTTCATATGGTTTTTATGGTTGTATTCTTTGTTTTGGTCTCATTTGATAGAATGGAAGATATACTACAGAAACAGATACGATTTTGATTGGCTCCACGAAGGAAAGTACCTTGAAAATGAGCTCAAATTAGCGGAAATGTTTGATTTTTGCCGATGTTCAAAAGTAAACAAATGATGTCACCATCCAATACATGTCCAACTGGCCAGTTTAATATGCAGTCACGAATGGGTTGACATTATTTATACAATT